TAGTTTTAGATTGCAAGAAAAGTGCTTCATTGCAAGAAATAGCCATAACAGTGAATCAGGGTCATTGTTGTTTGTTGTAAATAATTACATGTTTGTTTCCAGCAGGTTGCTGTGAATATGTAGGGTAGTGCCCGTAAGGTCCACTCGGTTTGTGAAGCATTTATGGTTATATCTTACGTTCTTGAATTATGATTTTTGTTCTAAATTGGTTCTTAAATTTTTTAGCATTATATTTTACCTTTTATTCTAAACTAATTTTTAAATTTCTGAATGTTTTAATTTCATCCATAAATTATAGGTCATTCTAATTTAATCCTTGGAAGTTTCAGCGTTTTAATATTATCTTCAAATTATCGATATATGTTAATAAAAATGTAATTTTCGTATTATATAAAAATATATCGTGACATAAATAATAATTAATGTTAGATTTAAATAATATAATAATTTAATTTTGAAATGTTGAAACAATTATATACAAGCTGGAAGAACAAAAGTAAAACACATTTTTTCTTCAGTTTCATTCTAAATAATGTTTTTGAAGACGTGATGTAATATTAATTAATGTTTATATCACATTATATTATTATTTAACACATATTAGTGATTATACGTTAATTAATAATTTTTTAACAATTTTATTAATATGAGACTTGATGGATATAAAAGTTTGGAGATTAATTTAGAATGGCGAGCACAATTTGAAATATGGTTGGAATATTCAAAAGTTGAAGGATGAATTTAGTACAAGTGTCAGTTTAAAAATGAAATTAAAATGTTTAAAAGTAACCGACAATCAATTGGTCTAGTAGAATAAAATATTAGATTCCCTAATCAAGGATGACTCATATGCCTTGATTTTATGCATAATCTCAAAAATCAGAAAAAAAAATGGGTTTTACGAGCATTCCAAGATGCAAAATCATTAATGATAACATCAACATTAATATTTTCCAAAAGTTCATTCTCAATTGATAAAATTACGAGGCCATTCAATTGTTCTTGTGACATTGATGACCTCAAGTAGGTTTTGATCTACTTTAATTTCGAAAAACTTCTTTCAGCTGATGTCACAGTCACCGGAACTGTCAAAAAAAATCTACAAGCGATTGAATCATTTGGATAGCAATTTGTACATTTGACAAACTCAAGAATTTTAGTAACTGACATTAATTCATTTGGCAAGGTAGATTGTAACACTTTCAATTCCGAGTAAAGATCATTTAAATCAACATCTGATGAATCACCATGAGAAAAAGTAGAGTGAAAAGTAGTACAACATTCTTTCAATTCTTTTTCATCCAATGACTTCACTTCAACTTGTTCGAATCAAACAAAAATCCAAAGATACTTTTAAAAGTTTTTAGTTTCTCAAATATGCTTTTTAAAGAAGTGATTGTCATATTAACAACAACAAAAAAAATACTCAAGTCTAAATGATTCTTCAGGCGATAGATTTTGATCATCCTCTTCATTGTTTTCATCAAAATGTGTTTTTCTAATAGCACGACACTTTGCTGGAAGGATAGGCTCTACATCCATATCAAGTGCAATACCTTTAGCAATATTCATACATGAAGTGTCCTAATCCAAAATGCCCAGTACAACCAATCAACCACCGTCGAGCGTCGGTCAAACACCGCCAATTCGCCACCGCCTACAACAGATTTCCCGGTCTAAAACCCTTAAAGTCTCAATCTTTCTTATAAACTTCAATTGATCGAGGATAAAACTTTTGAGTGATGCATTATTCAATTGTGATTTGACGCTATTTAAATTGAAGAAAAAAACTCTCGTTGCCTTTGATAAGAGAAGGTTTAGTAGCTTTGATGTTAATAATGATTTAATACCCATTGTTTTCCTGTTGTTTCTCCATTTCTCATCTCATCTATTTTTTTACACAGCTGTTTTTGTTCCTTTTTTCAATATCAAACCAGTTTTCGCACACATTTCAACCAGAATTTTTCAGTGAATTTCTCCGACCAAACTGCTTGCAAAATGTTATTACTTCCTTTTCCTTAGGTTTTTTACTTATTTTCTTACCCTCTTAAACTTAGTTGAATTTATATTTTAATTTATGAATTTTATTTTTTAATTTTAGTGAGTTAAAATTAAGAGATTGAGTTTAAATTCTTCAATTCGATAGATTTAAGTGATTTTATGAGTTAAAATAAAAAATATTTTCTGAAGAATATTTGAATGTTGAATTGTGATATATAAAATTAGGAATATAGATTTTTGAGAATGAAAAACAATTTTATGTTAAATTTGTATAATTTAAACTGAAGAATTTTGGATATTTTAATTTATAAGTTGAAGCAATTAAAATGCTTAATTAGTAATTAAGATTTTATTTCTTTGATAAAAAAATATTACTATTAAATTTTTAATTTATAAATTTTAATTAATAATATTAGCATTTGTATATATTATAATTGTAGTGGTGAGAAGATTAACGGTGATAAACTTAATCCTTCAGGAAAGAAGAATGAAACTTCGAATTAGTTTGTTCAAAAGACTAAAAACAATGATGCAAGTTCTTCCCAAGTGTCAATTTGTGTCTCTTCTCCAACTCTACTTTCAACAACTCAATTCGAGTAAGAATTTTCTTTCACTTCGTACAATATACTACAAACTCAAGAAATTGAAAAGAGATTGGCATGTATTACACATGATGATAGTACAATATTTTCATCGAGAGAGATGGAGAGCCAAGTTAATGCTAGTTCTATTCCACATGATCCAACTAAAAGAAAAAAATTATTGACTATCATCCAGTGGATCGAGAAGTGATTAAGAAATAATACATACAAAGAGATTCTTGGCAACTAAAGAAGCACACATTTTCTCAAACATATTTCGGGTAGGTATATTACATCGCTTTAATAAATATTGATTTCATAAGTATTCTTGACTTGAGTGTAGTGTTTCAAAAGACGACGCATTTTGCTTTGTCTATTACTTGTTTAAAAATGAAACTACTAAAGCTACAGAAGGTGATGAATTTTTTTTTTGCAACGTGTTTAGAGATTGGAATAGACCAATTCGGTTTAGAAAACATGTTAATGGAATTAATAGTGCTCATAATCATACTTTTTAAAAGTTTGAGAATTTAAAGAACTTTAAGTCATCATTCAAAACTTCTTTAAACCAATAAACTGAGTAAGCTAAAAGTGACTACCTAATCTGTTTGACTATTTCTTTTTATTGTTCGAGATTTCTTTTGCTTCAAAGATTGACGTTTCGTGGTCATGATGATAGTGATGAATAAAATAACAAGAAAAACTTGAGATTTTGAATTGGATTACGGAAAAGAATGATGAGGTAAGAAATGATTTTACCTAAAAATAATCAAATGATTGTACCTTCGATTCGAAAAGAGCTTATCAATTGTTGTGCAAAAGATACTATAAAGACAATTGTGGTAGATCTTGGTAAAGATTATTCTGGAATTCTAGTAGACGAGTCTAGTGATATGTTTAAAAAAGAACAAATGACTTTGTGTGTGCGTTATCTTGATAAAAAACGAATGATAAAAGAATGCTTTCTTGGAATTGTTCATGTTGGAGATACCACAACTTTGTCTCTTAAAGAAGTTATCTCTTCTGTGCTTGATGAGCATTCTCTGTATATGATTTATCACCAACTTCAATTAATTTTTTGTTGTTGCTTCCAAAAATAATGATTGTGGTTGATTTTTTGAAATACTTAGAGATTTGTTGAATGTTGTTGGATCGTCTTGCAAGTGAAAAGATTTGCTTATAGGAAAACAAAAAAAAGTTAAAAAAAAACCTTTGAAAATGATAAAATTATGACCGAAAAATATTTAGACCAAGAACTTGATTTAGGTAGACCAGGTGATACACGTTGAAAGTCTCATTATAAATCGATTTTGAATGTGATTGATTTATATTATGCAGTACGTGAAATTCTTGATTTGATTGGTAATAATGATGATACTCGAAAAACTAATAATGTGAATTTTGCAATAGAGTCATTTGATTTCATTTTCATTATTTATTTGATGAAGAGAATATTTGGGATTATGAACGAATTAAATAAAGCTTTACGGAGAAGAGATTAAGATATTATCAATGCTATGTATTTATCTAAAAAAGATTACAAATTATGAGAGAAAACGAGTGAGAGTCTTTTTTTTTTTGTTATAGTCACTATATTTTGTAACAAGAATGACATTGATATTCTTGATATAAATATTGTGTATATTTCTCTCAAGTGTGAAAAGAACATTTTCTAAAATAAACATCGTGAATAATATATTGCGATAATAGTATAGATAATCAATTTCTAAATTATTGTTTGGTCACTTATATAGAAAGAGACGTTTTTCTCCAAATTGTAACGAAGAAATCATGAAACGATTTCAACGTATAAAGAGTCGTCGATAATATTTATTTTGAATTATTTTTAGTATTAGTAAATTTTTTGTGTTTTTTGAACGGATTGTTATTTTGAATTATGTAACTTTTTTTTCTTAGTAAATGTAATAATATTTATTTTGGACTTTTTTTAAAAGTTTCTGGATCCGTCACTGATACCCGAATTAGTCTATTAATAATGGGTTTTATCAGCTGCATGTAATCCGGCGCCAAGTAGTCGTTAAAATTTTGAAAAACTGTCATTTTTCAAACTGTTTAAACCTCAAGTAAGCAAATATTGTAATTACACATCCGTTTTCTATCTCTGTTTTTCCACTCCACAATTAACGGGAATTGAGTGACGCTCCTATTCTTCCTCCGCCGCCATCCTCCGTGTATGGCCGTCACCTTTCCTCTCTCCACTTCTGTCGCTTTCATTTTAAATTGGCAAACGGAGAAAGCACCATTCAATTTTTAGAGACCAAAACACAGGTTAGGGACGAGAAGGAGGGAAATAGCGTTAAAGATCGAAGCGTTTTTCGTTTTCGATTTTTGAAACAAATACATTTCTGAGGAAATAAAAGGAAAACAACACATTGGGTTTTAATAAATCTTGAGGCAAAGCAATGGAACAAAAAGGTTTATTGTTGTCTGCGTTGGGTGTTGGGGTTGGGGTAGGGATGGGGCTCGGATTGGCCTCGGGTCAGAGCAGTTGGACCGGAGGCAGTTCGGCCGCATCGATCGGTCCCAATTTGGAGGATATGGAGAAAGAATTGATCCGCCAGATCGTAGATGGCCGAGAAAGTCCTGTCAGATTCGATGAGTTTCCCTATTATCTCAGGTACATCGGTGTCCGAATATAACGTCGGAGTCGAACACGGCTGTCTCGTGCATTGTTAACGTCGGAAAATCTAGTCTTGCCTTTGTTCTAACAATATGTTCATCCTTGTTGGTTATGTTTGGCAGTGAGCAGACTCGTGCATTGTTAACCAGCGCTGCCTATGTTCACTTGAGACATGCTGATGTCTCCAAGTACACAAGGAACCTTGCCCCTGCTAGCAAAGCCATCTTGCTCTCGGGACCTTCGGGTTCGTTATCCGAATCTTTTATTCTATTTTCCGATTATATACGTCGTAATTTTTCCGTATCGCATGCCGGTTTCGGAAATGTTGTAATCATTTTGTTTTCCATTGTTATCTTGAAGAGCTTTACCAGCAAATGCTTGCCAGAGCTTTAGCTCATTACTTCGAATCAAAGTTGCTGCTGTTGGATGTAACTGACTTTTCCTTAAAAGTGAGTATTTGCACATTTTTTATACCATTGCGGCTATGTTGCTCGTACTCTTCATATCCATGTTGATTACGTACTCGTATCTAGCATTCGTACCTGAGTATTTGGTTACCTATGTGCAGATTCAAAATAAATATGGAACTTCCAAGGAATCTGTAAGAGTTTTTTTCTTCTCCAATGGAACATAGAATTGGATCAATACTGCTTTTGATTTCTCTGATCTTCGATTCTTTCGTGCAGTGTTTCAAAAGATCTTCTTCGGAATCGACACTAGAGCTATTGTCTGGCCTGTTCAGTTCATTTTCACTCCTTCCACAAGAGCAACCTACAGGTACACTGCAAAATTCGTATGTTGCTTCGATTCTTCATTTTTCTTGAAGTATCTGAGTCTGACTTTCGTATATGTTCGTATTCGACACTTGTATCCGTTCCCGAGTAACATGGAATATCAACTATAACTTGTCTTGCAGGTACATTGAAGCGGCAAAGCAGTGGTGCGGATCTTGTAGCAAGGAGAAACGAAAGCCTTCCAAAGCTTCGTAGGAATGCCTCTGCATCAGACAATATAAATGCCCTTGCCTCTCACTCTTCTCCTGCAAATCCAGGTATGTCCTCGAGTTTTTCGATCAGCATATCGACATCCGACGCAGAACCATACCCGAAACTTATATCCGAGTCCAAGTAACATACGAGTCATACTCGTACTTCACGGTTGCTTTATTCTTCTTTTTTAGCTGCTGCTTCTCGAACAAGCGGTCTGTTTTTCGATGAGAAGTTGCTTATACAGGCTCTTTACAAGGTAGTAATATGTATGTGTGTGTATATATATGTATGAAGTTAACTTTTGTTTTGAAACAAATGATGAATCAACAGAAATTCTGGGATGACTGCAGGTGTTGGTTTTTGTGTCGAAAGCCGCTCCCATTGTGCTGTACCTTAGGGATGTTGACAAGCTCTTGTTTAGATCACAAAGGTTTTACAATTTCTTTCAACAAATGTTAAAGAAACTGTCTGGAAATGTGTTGATCCTCGGATCACGAGTCGTCGATCTCGGTAACGAAAACCAAGAGTTGGACGAGAGGCTTCACATCCTTTTCCCTTACAACATTGAGATCAGGCCACCGGACGACGAACGCCATCTTGTCAACTGGAAATATCTACTGGAAAAGGACATGAACATGATCCAAACTCAGGATAGTAAAAATCACATCATGGAGGTGCTCTGGGCTAACGATCTCGACTTCGATGATCTCAATTCGATCTGTGTTGCAGACACGGTGGCACTCAGCAGATACATAGAGGAAGTCGTGGTCTCGGCGATATCTTATCATTTGATGAACAACAAGGATTCCGAATACAGAAACGGAAAACTTATTATATCGTCAAAAAGGTCAGATTTGTTTCTCTTGCACGGTTTATGCTATACGATTTCTGATTCGGGTCACATTGATGCAGCTTGTCATATGGATTGAATTTATTCCAGGGGAAGTTTGGTGGTGATAAGTTAAAGCTGGAACCACAAACTGAAAGATCAAAGGTCTTATAATCTAGCTAGTTGTTTTCTAACAGCAAACACAAGGAATTACATGGTAGATTACAAAGCTCACCTCCATATCATGTTTACATTGAATATTTGTAGGAAGTTGCAAAATTTTCTGCAGTTATGAAGCCGGAATCGAAATCCAGAACCGGGACTGGGACCACCACTACGAGTACAACCACGATCACAAATCCAGAAAAGATTGACATTGAAATTTCTGCTCTAGCCGTGAAAGTTCCTGTGAGTTTGTGTTTGCTTTCATAGTAATGAATTCCTTTGGTGTACGGTTTTGTCATCCTTCATATCGATCTGCAGGAAGTTGTTCCAGACAACGAATTCGAAAAGCGAATAAGACCCGAGGTCATACCACCAAACGAGATCAATGTGACATTTGCCGATATCGGTGCCATGGATGACACGAAAGAATCTCTGCAAGAGCTAGTGATGCTTCCTCTACGAAGGCCAGACCTTTTCAAAGGTGGCCTTCTGAAGCCTTGCAGGGGTATACTGTTATTCGGTCCTCCCGGAACAGGGAAAACAATGCTAGCGAAAGCCATTGCTAGAGAAGCCGGTGCGAGCTTCATTAATGTATCGATGTCAACCATTGCTTCTAAATGGTTCGGAGAGGACGAGAAAAACGTCCGAGCGTTGTTCACATTGGCAGCCAAGGTCTCCCCTACTATCATATTTGTAGTGTAGACACCCGTTTTTGTCCGGGTCTTTTTTATTATTATTTATATATATTTATTATTATTTATTATTATTATTATTATTTATTATTATTATGTTTATTAATTACATATTACAATTTTTGTAGGCCACTAAGCCCAGATTACAGAAGGTCCATTCCCGGAGCCCAACTAGCTAAACCTAATGGCCCAGTACCCTGAACCAACCCATCAGATTAGGGTTTTAAACCCTAAAACAAATTAGGGTTTTAACCCTAATCCCCTAATGGCAGCCGCCGACTTCAACTCCTCAGCTTCCCAGCCATGAGCCAATCACCGAGCCACCAAGCCGAGATGTCCCGTCGCCACCGACTGTTCTCCTGCATGAATAGTGACCGAACATCCACCTACAGTGACACCTACAGTGACCAAATCAACCAAAAACCAAACCCCAAATTAAAATACCAATAAATCCCTAAATATTCAGGATTTATATCTTGCAAAATCAGAGAAAGCCATGGGCTATTCTAGACATCATCATCTCACCAAACGAAGCAAAAATCAACCACATGCAAAGCAAGATAAAAGGAAGGAAGCAAAGAGAATAGGGAGAGAGGCGGTGATAACAAAAAAAGAGAGAGGCATTCGGGTTCAGAGAAAGAGAAAAAAAGAAAACAAAAAAAAAACAGAAGATAGAAAAAAAAGAGAGATTCGAAACAAAAAAAAAGAGAACAGGGGAGGAGAGAATCTCACCGTGGGTTAGATACTAGTGGGGGGAACGTCAAAGGTCGCTGGAGTCGTTTTGCCGAGAGATAAACCTCGAAGATCTAGGGTCCTAGAGGTCTTTTTAGGGTAAAAGGAGTTGAGATCGGGGTTGAGAGTTGAGAGAGGAACGCTCTGGGGTTTTTTTAGCTTCCTCCGGCCGCCGCCGCCACCGCTTGCCACCACGAGCTCCGCCGTGGCTCCATCTCCTTGACGAGGAGAGGTTGAGAGATTTTAAATCTCTCTTTCCTCTCTGTTTTGGCTGAAGGCAAGCAAATGAGGAGAAGTGAGTGACCTAAGCCCGATTTTGGGCTTATATTATTCAACCAAAACGGCGCCGTTTCAGCAAGGGACCTTCAGCGTGTTTTATCTTGTGGGGTAACTACAGTTTAGGTCCCTCCTCGTATGTAATCTGTTATTTTGGTCATTAATAAAAATTATGATCTTTTACTTTGGGCATTTATCTTTCGATATTTATGATTTAGCCACTGAGTTCATGAATTTGAATATTTTCCTTGCTATTTCGAGTGGCCATGATATTTATGTTTCTTACATTTTAGTCACTGATTCTGTGTTATGTTTTTTTATGTTCGAATTTGGAAGCAATATTTGTAAATCAATCATTTTAGTCACTGGTAGCTTGTGTTGTGTATTTTTGTTGACATTTGAATCTGGTCATATCATTTCTAAATATTTTATTTTAGTCACTGCTTCACTTTTGGTTTAATTATTAGTCGGTCTTAATGTTTTGTTTTAATTCATTTTAGTCCTGTATTATGTCTTTTAAATGTTTATATATCTAGCTGTTAATTTCATGTAGTTTTCATTTTGGTCATCAAGTAATGATTTATATTTATTCTATTTTGGAGTTAATATTTTATACCTTTTTCATTTTGATCCCTATTTGATCACTAGTGTGCTTTGGGCAAATACTTTGTTTTGAGCCCTGATTTGTGATTTATTTCATCTTAGTCACTAATTTTATATATGGTGTATTTTCTTTGATGTTTTGATTTGGCCATGTCTTTTGTAGGATTTTTATTTTAATCATTGTTGGGCTTTTGGTTTAAGTATAGTTTGATCCTTTATCGTCCTGTTTATCTCATTTTGGTCACTAACAATATTTATGAGCTATTTTCATTTTTAACACCGGTATTATTTAATATGTGCAATTTGAACTATGGATTACTTTTTAGCCCTGTTAGTTTATGCTTTTACTAATTTAATCCATTATGTTTATGTATTTCTATTTTAGCCCTATTAATGTATGTTATGTCATTTTTGTGGATATTTGACTTTAGACCCAATGTTTGTAATAGTTTCGTTTTAGTCTCTGATTTCATATGATAGATATTTTGGTTGATGTTCGAATTTATCCCTGATATTTATGAATATTTTATTTTAGTCATTTATGTATGATTTTATTGTACTTGTTATTCGGTTATTTGTATTATGTAAATAATGTTTCATTTAATGTAAATATTTTATCTTGTATTTGCAATTACATTTGTTTATATTACGTTTTTATCCATGAAATAATTTTTGATTTTATTTTCAAGTACGTATGCGTAGAATGAGCGTGGAAAGTACCACTTGATCGAAGTGGTGTGATCCGGTACGGCATTTTAACGACATAGAAACTTGAAATAAGTCGAGTATATTTTGCTAATTAATTTGTTCAAACGATGCGATGTGTGTTATTTTAAGTAGTAATTTATTTTATTTTATGTAAATGTCAATTTCAAATTTTGCAGTTGTATTCAATTCACATTTTAGTTAATCAATTTATTTTGTTGTATGCAAACATCAATTTTATTTATATTCGATTCACATTTTATCAAGAGGGAAATATTCTTTATGGATGAGAAATAGTCGAGTTAGCTTTCCCGATGGAGGATTGCTAATTTCGAGATTTCTTTTCGAGTTAAAGAATTTTCTCTAATTATTTAATTCGAAGCAAATTAATCAACGTTCGATAAATAGATCATATTTTAACTTTATATTTGATTTATAATTTCCACCATTTACAACGATGTGTAAGCGACACAGTACCAATTTTGGGCGTTGTGGGGGGTGTTTACCCTTCCCCGCACGTAACCGACTCCCGAATCCATTTAAATGAATCTTTGGTAACGCAGACCGAATCTTGTCTTAAAAAATGATTTTTCTTAAAATTGTTTTAAAAGACGTTTTTAGGTATTCGACCTACCTAACCCAAAGGTTGATGGCGACTCTTTTTAATTTTATTCAAATCAATGCAAAATCACCCATTTTTTCCAAATTAAAGTCATAATTGTTTTTAAAAATAATATTTAATAGTTCCACCTAAAAAAATGGTTATGACAGCTTGGCGACTCTGCTGGGGACTTTTTTTAGAGAGTCAGGCTGTATGTCGTTTACATATTGTCATCTTGGTGGAAATGATGATTTCTAGTTTTAGTTAATTTATGATCCGCTTATTGAAATTTTTAATTGCTTCGTTTTTTTTGTCGTACTAACATTTTATTTTTGGCTTTCAGCTTTGTCAGGATTTTATCATTTTTCCTTGTTTTGTTTTCCTTTTGAGTCGAAGGTAAGTATGTTCCTCCTCACACATCACTCGCATTGGCATAACATAAGCTCTAGACACGAGCTTCGATCCAAATTAGTTGGGGTGAATGCTTTACTCTCGTAAGAATTTATTCTTCGTATGAGTTTTAGCAAATAACCCATGGGATACATACTTTATACCTTCGTAGGGATTTATTCCTCGTACGGGTATAAGACAGTGAATCCCCTCGAATTGAACTCGTTCCGTTTGAAACCTGTAATGGGTGAGGATCGAGGGTCTGGCAGCCCAAGGGGGCACCGACATCAAGGACAATTCGAGTCCCTTTTTTCCGTTAGAGCCGAAACCAAGCATATAGTGAACCGTCGAACGATCACCCTAGGTATAGTCATACCGAACCTTTGTCTGTCAGTAGGTACCCAAAATAGGTGTACACGAAGGAGGAACGATTCTAAACCTTAACCTTTTAAATTTGTAGAATATATTTTTTTTCCGAATAAAGCATGCGAACTAGATACCATGCGGTTAGGACCAATTTCTTGAAAATAGATCATTTTGGGTAGATAGCATGTCCGGGTAGGATTGTTATGTTTGGGTAGATATCATGACGGGGTAGGTGTTATATCCATCTCTGAATTACATTTTTATTTGTATCAATTATTTTACATGTACTAACTTATTTTTCTCTTTTGTTTGTGTATACTAACTTATTTCTTCTCTTTTGTTTGTGTCATTTTGTCATTTGCATTGCATTGCATCATCATAATGCAAAAGTGTTGATCCGTAAGGGGATATTCGAGAGAAAATTTTCACAAGAAGAGATAAAAGTTTTCAATCAAGCGATCGCATACACAGACATGCATTGAGGGCTAAAAAGAAGTCCAGAGTACAAGAATGAGACTTGCTCAAAGATCGTGCATCATTCGAGATTGATATGATAATCCATTGATCCGAGGAGTGATCCAGCAGTATATTTTCATCTACAAGCATTCTATCACTAACAATCAAGGAGTGGCATACAGACTTCAGCACTGTAGAGGCATTAATGGTGTCAGATTACGAAACGCTTTAGGGGCATCAGTTTCAAATACGAAGAGACGAAACGAAGCAGTGAGCTCAAAGATTGTGCAACATTCGAGACTAAAACAATGATCCATTGAGCCAAAGAGTAATCCAACAGTAGATTCTCATCTACAATTATTTCATCGCTATCCATCAAGGAGCGACGCACTGACTTCAGCACCGCCGGGGCATTAATGGTGTCAGATTACAGATCATTGAGGGGCATTATTTTCAAGGACGAAGATCTGAGACGAAGCAGCGATCTATTTCAGACTTAGCATCTAAGCGAATGCATGTCTGTAAAGTGGATTGTCTTGTGAGGCGAAGGCTTTTATCTCTGGTGAAAATTGTTCTAAAATATTCATCGTTGGGATCAACATTTCTGCATTTGCATTTGCATCATTGCATTTTGCACAATATCCATTTAAGCATGTTTACATGCATTAATCATACCTTGCTGGAAACTTTGAGGAAGCACTTCTAACTGTGCACTTGCATTCACACAGTACTGAGAATGGATGTAAAATTTGAGGAATTGAAGAAAGAGTTGAACGAGAGTTTGCAAAAGATACAAGCTGAGTGGGAGGTTAAAATGGAGCAGATGCAAAAGACTACCGTGGATTGTATCTTGCAAAATCAAAGTGACCTGGTGGATCAAA